GCTGCCACAAAGAGCAGCTAGAACTCACAGATTTGAGCAGCTGCTCAGAGCCGGACAAATATGCCAGCCATTCGCCTTTTCGCCTTTTCAGGGTGGTTGAGTGGGGAGTCGTGCGCCAAGTGGTGCAAATAAAGTGCGACATTATTGACATACTTAAGTCCTAGGCATTATGACACTAATCGTATTAGTTGGTCGTTAGTTAGGCGCTGCTGCTACCGCTGCTGATACTGCTGCTGCTATCAGCGCCAAATGCGATTTCCGCACAATGAGCCGTTTGGCCCTCGTGCACAGCATAGCCCGGTCGACTTGGCTCGCCTCGTTTCCGGTTTACGTGCGCCATTTTTCGTACAGGTGACATAATGACCCGGCTCTGGACGTGCACCGACGACACGTAATTAGAGAGACGAGTGGCGGCGAGGCTCCACCCGCTTTGCCACCCCCTCATCCCTTGCACCCGCCTCACACGACAACTTTGTCATTTAGCAAATCGGTTTAGCTGCCTCCATAGAATAGTTCCAACAGGTTCTGTCATCTATGTCGCTGGCTTTATTAAATTTGCAAACAACTAGCCGAGTACTTACTGCTCAATAAGAGACCAAAACTTACAGCAGTCAGAGTATATATCGTCAGCAGTGTTCAGGTCTTCTCTGAGCTCGTTTTAGGTAGCGGAAGTCGACACAATCCAAAGCTGGCACATAATTGAAAGCCATTGACAACTGATGTGTAGGTCATGACAAGGTCTGCTCCCAGCCCAGCCGCTAGACATCAGTGTAGATCTACAGTGGCTGGGGGCACCATTCGTTCTCCTTCATTTATCAATCTTAATCGCATGCAAATTTTATGCAGGCTCGCCATTAGGCAGAAGCCCGGCAAAAATTTGTTTCGAGCCTAGTTATGTTGCTCATATGCCAACTGGCTGTTAGTTTTGTTAACAACTTTTGCTTTGGGCCCGAACTTCTGCTAATCACATACCCAACTACCCCGCTCGCTCTGCGCCCCTCCCTTTTTAGCTAGTCCCAAACTTGTGCCGCGACATTTGCATTTTGGTGACATAATTTTTGGTGTATTGTGAAGTCAAATGGGTCTCAGTAAAGGCACATGCCGAAAAAAAGAGGAAGACGAAACATTTGCATAATTAATGAGCTGAATAGATTTTCCGTTGAAGGAATTCTGTTAGTACTATGAATCCTAAATGGAGCACTTAGAAAATATGGAGATTATGCCCGTTAAACCGGACAGATTTTATGGCCTATTGAATAAAATATCTGAAAATAGCAAAATGCGAAGAACCAATTTATGAGCAAAAGGAAAGTTTCAGTTTCAGTTTGATTTAATAATCGAAGTTATTTAAAATAACCTCTACCTCTAAATCTACCTCTACCTCTACCTCTACCTCTACCTCTACCTCTACCTCTACCTCTACCTCTACCTCTACCTCTACCTCTACCTCTACCTCTACCTTTACCGCTACTTCTACCTCTAAATCTACCTCTACCTCTAACTCTAACTCTAACTCTAGCTCTAACTTTATCTCTCCACCTCTACCTTACCTCTACCTCTAACTCTAAGACTGTGTCTGTGTCGGAGTCTGAGAGTAAATCTATTTTCTATTTTGTATATTATTATACCTTGTATATATCTCATATATTTCATATTATATATATAAATTCTTCAAAATATATACTCATCATGCAGGTTTTCTCAAAGTGAACTCCTTTGTATAGACTTGTCACAGGTAATTTTGGCTTATAGTCGCCTTTCGCACGGTTCAATTACTTGGGATATGGCGAGGATGACATTCTTTTGTGTTACCTTGAAATGCCTGACTAACGCTAATTTCCGTGGGTATTTCTTTGCGTATTTTCGCCTGAGGCTAATGACATTTGTGTCAATAAAAATAATCAATCATTGGACCTGAGAGAGTGGGTGGAGTAGCAGCAGATGGCTGAGCAATCTTTGAGGATGATGATGGCAACGGCTTTGAAGGTGCTTTTGATGTGATACTCCGTGATGTGTGTTGCGATTGGAGGAATGGTGAGTATCAAAAGCGGTTCTTAGGTTAGCTATTTAAAAATAAAAAGTCCTTGTCAGATTCCTTGATGGATGTGTGTATATATGTGTATGTGTGTGCTGCGAAAACGTGGCTTAACGCAAATGGCATTTTAGCTAAATGCAACTAACATTGCCAGCATCAACTCGTACAAAGTTTCAAAACACGTAGCTGGTCAGCAGCTGTGGAAAAAGTTATACAGAGAGAGAACGAGAGAGAACGAGAGAGAGAGGGAGACAACAATTTCCAAATAAATTTTAATTGTTTTGAACAATTAAAAATTAAATTTAAAAAATAGTACGTGAAATATACGTGAAGAGCCATGGTGAAAATTTGTACTTTTATTCAATTTGCGCAACTGTTTTGAGTACGTGAGTATGCGTGAGTTTTCTCAGTAAGTCCATGTGTGTGTATGAGTGTGTGTGTGTGTGCTGGCTGTTCAAATGCCGCTGTTGCTAAACAAATTAAATTAGACAACTTTTATTCATTCGTTTGACATTTTTATTTGTTTTCAAACTCATTTCGTGCAAGGCGAGAGAGGACTATTCTGACAACCGGACAATTAACAACAAATACAATTTGCCGACTTTAGTTTAACAATTTTTGCAACTGCTGTTATTTAATTGTTTGTCAGTCATCTCTCTCTCTCTATTCCACTCTCTCACTCTCGCTCTGGTTTCGTTTGTGCAAATTTAATTAAATGCCATTTGGGCGGTGGTCTGATTTGAATGCTGCCGGGCCCCAAAAAGCTTGGGGCCTCTGTGCCGCTGCTGTTGAATTGAGAGCTGTAGCAACATTTTAAAATTCATTTACAATTTTATGACACTTTCTTTTTCTATTTTCACATTGTCAGCAGCATTGATAAGCTCGCTTATCGCTCATTGATTGCCATCATCGAAAAAAAAAAAACGACTGAAACATGACCAAACGATACTAAAAACGTCGGCATTTTTCATTACAATAAAAGTTTTGTATCATTCGGCATGCTTCAATTGCAGATATCACGTGTAATGAAAATAAAAGCGAGCACTCTCCGCGAATATTGTTGAAATGTGGAATATTTACAATATATACATATCATAGCATAACTGGAGATCGATGTAAGCATCATCAACTATATATATTTCAAAAATAGTAACAAATTAAGTTTCAAGTTTTCAGGTACTGCCTGTACTGTATAATAAATGTGTACTTTGACTTTAAGTTATAGATTTGCTAGTTATCTTGATGAGTTTATTGCTGCATTCGCTATTCATTGTGTATACTCATTATCTAGCAACAAAGTAACTCCTCTGCTTACTCTTCCTGACTTTTAATCTAAATTTTATGGACTTAAATTCAAGATGAGTCCTTCTGGCACTCAATAAAATTGAGCTTCGAAAGAAATTTGGTTGAAAATTTATTAGAAATAAATAAAAATCTATTTATAAATAAACAAGAATTTTTTATGAAACTTTAATTATTGTTTGGATATCTTTGACTTACTAAGTTTAAAAAAAAATCATTTTAAATTCATAAAATATTATTTTATATATGTAAACATTTTGTCTGCTTAAAAATAATTATATGCGCATATATTACATTTAAAATAAGTTTATTAAAATAGTTTATGTAAATAAAAATGTCAATATTTTTCCTCAAGAGGTTTTAACGATTATTATCGAAATTTAAAAAAAAATATATACATATATGTATATATATATAGTAAAAAGTCTTATAAAGAAAATATTACAAAAAATAAATATATTTGTGTTGCTAAATATATTATTGTAAATAAATTTTCATGTCATTTTTTTTATTTTTTTTTTATTTAATTATTTTATAGCTTGTTATATTTATCGCTTTTAGTAGTCCGAGTTCTAATTTATTTTTGTGAATGTATAGTCTATTTATATGTATATTAATCTGATCTTTTGGGGTGACTCTGAAGTCTTTATGGACAACAAAATTATCAATATATACCAAAGAGCAGCTAATATTGTTCGTGGCGTCATAGACACATTTGAATTACATCACATCACCTATGAATCAAATCGAAAACCTAATTTATTAATTTACAGCTAGCGTAATTAATATATAGTTAATGGAATTATCGAAAAACCACCACTCATTAAGTAAGCCCCGCCTTTAAGGTGCAATAAAAAACTCAAAGGTACTCGACGGTAAATGATAAGATCGTCGATCGGTTGTCGATTGTGTTGAATAGCACATTTTCAGTTTGTCTGCGGCAGTGGCAACAGCAGCGCTTGTCCCAAAAATAAAATTTATATGCGAACAGACAAATTCATCTTATCTTGGAAAATCACCAAAAAAAAAAAAAAAAGTGTTGAAAAAGAAGGAAAAGATCAAAGCAAAAACCTTATCGAAAATGCCACTGCAGCTGCTTAAATTGCTGCTACTGTTGCTGCTGTTGAGGTGCCTCAAAGCCGAGTGTTGGTGAATATGAATGTGAATTTAGATGAGTACGATTCATATATGCTCAATTCGCAGCACCACAATGTTTTCATTTCACCTGGATAGGACCCTACGACAACAAATCGAACATAGCCAAGGAAAGCTGCGACGCCAGAGTGGGTGACTTCAATGAGATACCCTGCGAAATGCCCCTCGTAGTCACTCGTATGTATCTATCAATCGAATTTCAAGCATATCAACCCATAGCCGTGCAAAACTCACTTCAGCCAACGACACTGTGCCGGATGTGAAGGCACTGTGGAAGAACGAGACATTGAATCGCGAGCATTATCTGTGCCAGATGTCGCCCGGCTACTCCTGCGTCAAGTACTCCTATATATTCAAGGGTGGCAGTAAGTACACTCTTATACTTGCACATACTTTTATATACGTCTCCACACCTCTGCAGCAAAATAAACAGTTCAGTGAGGGATATAATCGTGTTTTCTTAGTATGTATTGAGTGTGTTTATGCGGAATAATAAACTAATTTTGTTGAGATATTTTCTTGCTGAAAAAGTAACTAGCACATAAAGTAAAAGTGTTTTATTTACTTTACTTTAATTTATTGGAATTGGATTTGAAGTATTCAAGATGGTTAATATAACCTTATGAATGCCTTCAATTTCTATAGTGTAAAAATGCCGTAATATATTCGCAGTCTTCAAACTGGTTTCATTTAATTTTGCTTGATAGCTGCTATAAGAATCAGTTTTGTTAAGAACTTTGTTAAAGTTGGGTCATAAAATCTTTTAATGAGTTTTATTCAGTTGATAAGATGGCCTTTAGCAGTTTAAGCAAAAGTCAGATCGACATATTCATAGCTCATAAACAGAAGATGTTGGATAGATTTTTAGAATATATGAGCAGAAACTTTCTTTTAAATAATTAACAAGCACTCAATAAGTCATAAATTTTATTTATATACTTTTTTTTTTTTTTTAATTTATTTATAGTATGCTTCAATTGGTTAGGCTTTTAGAAACGAATAGATTGGCCGAATTAATGACTATCACTGGATAAGTCTTAGCATTAGTAACATGAGTAACATTAATTTTCCGTTTTTATTATTTTTGAACTTCAAATGAAAATATAATATGAAATATCAATTATAGATTGAAAAATTACTTTTCCGATATACATATACAGTAGATTCCGTTTATATCGACACTCAAGGGACCGTCGTTATACCCGTTTAAGTTTGCTCATAAAAGTTCGTCTGGAGACCAGAATTTTCGTCGCTATAACCGTTGAGACGCTATAAGCTGAGTCGTTATAACCGGATTCTACTGTATTGCATTGTCCGGAATAATAATAATAATCTAATAAATTCCTCTTTTATTTTAAATATATATATTTTCAATTATTTCATACATAAATATTTCCCATATATTTCGCTTGCGGATATTAAAAAAAATTTTAATAAATTTCTCCACTCACTTTCATTGAACAGTACAAAATATAACGTATATGTGTGCCAAGGTGAACAACAGCAATGGCTGCTACCGCGAGACCCAGGCGACGGGCATGCAGGTGGAGGCTTGTGTTTGCACCTCTAAACTGGGTCTGATACCCTGCAATAGCAGCCCAACTGCGCTGTCTCGACCAATTCTGGGCTTGGCCATGGCTCTGCTCAGCGTTTTTATTGCAGTTAAATAAATAAACAAAAAACTGAACAGAATAAAAACAAATGTAAAAAAAAAAAAATAAAATACAAATAAATAAAACATTGTCACTGATAACTCGTTGGGCACTTCAATGCGATCGGAAGTGCATTGGCAATTTGTTTAGTTAACGTCAGCGACGGGTGGCGGAGGGGGGCAGACTGACATGTTTCGCATAGTTTGTCGTGATCTTTCGGCCTTTTCCACAATGTAATGTGACATTTCCGCGCTTTTGATTTTGACAAGTTTGCACAATTTATGGGCTCTTTTTATAGGCCATATATTATTTTTTATGGTCTGGCATTGGTAACGCGTTGGCTAAATAAACTGCCATAATTTATTTACTTGGCTATTAATCAAATGCAACGATCCCAGAGACTCCACACGCACGCCATTTATTTGACTGTATTGTCTAAAATATATTTTTTGCGAATATAAACTGTTTATTTTGAACAGAAAATCCTTTTAACAGCCTTTCAAAAACTGCTATGCACATAATTTACTTTTAAATTTTACTCAAATGGAATAAAATAATATAGAATAATTTCCATTTTTCGTTTTTCTTTATTTTTGGGGAAATCTTTATTAAAACTGCAATTTTGTTGTGTGCATTTTGTGAAACGTGTTGCCAGCCCGGCCCGGCCCGGCCCGGACAACAGAAAAATCTCAACTCAATAATAACAATAAATAAACAGTAAATCAAACAAACCGTAAAATATTGTCACAGACAGCAGCGGCATAATAATAGGCCCGGTCGGGCAGTGGCGAGGGGGGGGGTGGCATGGAGCAGTCGCAATGGGTTGCTGAACTGGAGACCATGACCAAATGGCAAACAATGCAGGCGATAAACAGAGAGCGACTGATGCTCCAATTGCCGGCAGGGCTATGCGGCGTATGAGCAATGCACACAGTGCACAATTAAAGCACTGCACTTGCAGATGGGCATGGCC